CATAGGTCTTACTAAGGTGACATTTAAACGTCATATTTTAACACTTGCTCGCTTACTAAGCACCAAGGAGATCACATTTTCATGAGATTTTTTATCATTCTGTCTTATCTTGTGTCTCATCCAGCTTGATATCTAAGCACCAGGACGATTGCCCGTGTGAGAGGGCCAATCAAAAGCCTAGTTACATCTATTGTAGAGACCCTAATTTTTGTAATTACCATTAAATCCTTAACCTTGAGTTTATTTCAATAAAGCCCTTGAATTTTCACTTAATTGCGTTTTAAACCCTAGAATTGGGAAACATCGCGAATTAATTCGAGTAAACCCTAATTGATCCCGTAGATTAATAATCATGTTTAAAACCCTATTATTAATTATTAGACCCTATAATTATAGATTAATCACTTTAAAATCTTAATTTCCGGTAATGCCGTTTTTGCTCGGTTTCTCACCTTTGTTTGCGCTTTAATTTAACGGGACCCAAATTTATTATTTTAACTATTTTCTAATGTTAGTATATTAATAACATATATCAAGGTTTCATAAATTTAGACTTGGTCCCTATATACTTTTATTTTATTTCATTCCAACCTTTAATTGTAATATTTTATTAATTAATGTACTTGTGCCTATTATATTATGTTTATAAATACAAATATCTCATACAAATATCTTATATATATAGATATATATTTCTTGGAGCCCAAGTAGCTAGTCATGGGAGAGTTGAAATGGCCTTGATGGCATTGATGGACAACTTTGACTAATTACACCTATGGAACTTGGCTCCTAAGAAACCTTCCAATCCTTTCTCTATATATGCACATTTCTCCCCCTCATTTTACACATTTTCAGCCATGCACTAGAGGAGTGAGAGAGAGAGTGATCTTGGAAAAAAAGAGGGAAGAAGAAAAACAAGAATTGTGTTGAGTCTTGTACAACAAAGGTAAACATACATCACCTCTTCTCTCAAGTTCTTTTATCACTTGTTTTTCCCCTCCTAATACATGCTCTTTGTATATATTTGTTGTAGTCTAGGCCTACACTCTTGTATAAATCTGTATTAATCAAGAAATGGTATGCTTCTCTTTCTTTCTTAAATTTCCAGCAGCAAATCATTTCCCTCTCTTGAATTTATTTTCCTATCAAAACTCCATAAACTCAAAATCTGTTTTTATGGTGCAATATTTGGTATGTCTAGAGTATGTGATAATTTTGGTAGGACCTAAAGATGTATTTTTATAACCTAAACAATTTTTCTAAGTTTGTTACTCACAGATCCAGAAAAACAATCAACTTTCTCTATTTTTATAAAATTCCAGAAAAATAATCTTGAGTCCAATTTAATGTCAAAATCTTAATCTTGGTGTTATATTTTAACTAAAATTTGTTTGAACTCAAGAGAGTGAGGGGTTTGAGAGAAAAACCGATTTGCGTAACTGTCAACGAATCGGGACAGATCTTGGTAATTCTGAATTATCTTAAAATCTAAAATACCTATCCTACTTTCGTAAATTGAGTTTGAAATTAGACTTATTTATCTACAAACTCACATGAGGCCAGGTACTTAGGGCCAATAAAAGTATTTTTTTCATAATTATTTTCAAACTGGTTCAAATCTGGAAATCTAGAAATTTGTGTTACTACGCTCTTATTTGGTTTGCAACTCTTATATTCTATGCTTCTTGAATGTTTTAGTCTCGATATGTAATCTATGATAAATTGTGAATTTGCTTTATCATGAATAAATTACTTATTGTTTAGTTTGGATTGATAATTATACTGACCATGCTTTGCTATAACTGAGAACATAATGCACTTAATAAAGGGAAAATCAAATGGGATGGTAATGGGTTGCGATCAATGTATTAAATTTTATGAAATAATGAACGATGGATTCAAGAGTATGATATAGTGGAATGTGTTCCATTTTTGTAAAGTTTTGCGCAAGTGTGTTTTCGAACCCTAACATGGCACGGGAGGTATTCTGGTTGCTTAACGGAAATGGGAGGCATAAGGGTGGCAGTGAGGGTCTCACACAGGGAGAGTATCCCTGGAAGCCCGTTTCCTTAGGGTAGACGGTGATGTCACCACTCGAGTATGTAACCTAGGTGTGTGGGCATCATTGGTAATTGTGCGGTAAGCGACGCACTGGTGGTTATGCGGTCAGCGACGCATTGGTATTGTATTAACCAAGGGGGAGTCAGAATTACCCGTGGCCAGTGTTAGTGGTTGGGTAGGAACGGCATTCCGCGGGGAGTTGCCTAAAACTAACTAAAATTAACTATTATTCGTGAGAACTGAAATTTAATTATAAGTTCTGCTTAACTATTGCTTTCGCTGTATGTTATGATCGTGGCGTTATGTTACCTGTGTATTTAGAATGGTAAAAGGGTCGGGGTGTGTGTGTTTACTGGACATTCCAAGCTCATGGCGTTTTATGCCAAGTGAGGGCGAGTTTTACTCTAAGAACAGAATCCCTAAAAGCTTTGCGGAACCATGGCTGCCTTAGAGATTAGATTGTATATTTCCTGTATTTGGGATAATCTTTTTGTATCAAGGAGCTGATCTGTATTTAAAGACTTAAAGGATTTTATCTGTAATTATTATTAATATTTTTTTGTAATTATTTGTATTTTGTGCTTAAAAATGATGTGTATTCGCTAGTTAAACCCCGGTGTATCGTTGTATTATATTATCAAAATTTGGGGCGTCACATCTATACTAAATCTAAGATATGTGCTATAATTGATCAACATATCATTATGCAAAATAGAAGAAACTAATCTCATTAATGCATAAGATACTATAAAAGGGTCCAACCAATACAAAAATATCTAGTCCTACAAAATCCCAAACCCCTAACATGTCTATGAAAAAAAAAAATCTAGAAATGGGTTTGGTCAAAGGATCAACAACCATGTCGCTAGTGGATACATCATACCTGCCTTAGGACCACAAAACCCTTGTGTCCCAATCAAGTTTGTCGGTTAGATGAGCCTTTTTCAAGGGTTTTGTGTTAGGTAGCCTAACCGCCTGCACATAAAGTCACCTCCATATCTCTTGTGTGTGTGTGTGTGTGTGTATCCTTTCGCATATTAGTTTGCCATCCACCCTTTTGTGGGGACTTTCATAGAGATGGCTAACAGTTGTAGGTGTTTTTCAAGGCTATAAGGGCCTTGGTGTTTCTTGCTTTTTGTAAGAATTCTATTTCAGCTATACAAGAACATATATTTAAATTTGGCCTTCTATAGAAGCTTAGGGAGAATTGGAGCCTAAAGCAAGTGCTTCACTTTGGGCATGAGTTGGCCCTATCTTTAATCTATTTTCTAATTGAACTTAATATGTTCTAATTTTTTAGTTGTTTGGAACAGAGGTTAAGCTTTTATAAGACCATTTCTTTAAATTTTGACTCATTTGATATCAACGGATTTATTTTTCCCATATTTTTTATTTAAAAATAACTAGTAGTACTTATTTTAAATTCATAGGAAACAACGATTATCCTAACATGAGGCCAAGGTGTCTAATCTTTAGATGGTCCCATGCCCAGCTAAAGGAGGGTTGTGTTAGGTAACTAATAACTAGAGTAAAACCTTGTTAGACTCCTCATGAACATGAATTAATAATTTTTTTAGCAAATGTTAGGATATTTCCCTTAATTGATGCTTTGTATCAACACTTGGGTGCATTTAAAAGCTGTACCCGAAGAAGCAATGTGATATGGCAAAATATGGGTAAGGTTTCCTGTATTATTTTGAATGAGTGTGGCTAAATAAATTAGTATACGACAATAGGCTTGGCTTAATGACTTGGAATATATGAACAATTACTAGTAAAGGAATGGGGTTGGGAGACAATATGATTAGAAGAATACATTGGTAATGACAGGCATGGAAATGGAATGGATATGACGGATAATACTAATGTAATCTGGAATTGGATGGGTGAATTTGTTAAATGAACACAAGCAGATGGAAAATCAGAAGGAACATGAGTATTATTTAAGAACATTTAATGAATTGGTGAAGGATTTGAAAGATTTAAGGTGCAAAGGAAGATGCTCAAGAAGTGGTTAGACTCCAAGTTGACAATCTTTATGGTAAGTTAGGCACAAAAACAACATGAAGAATATACACAACTTGCTAACTTTCGAGGGTTGGAAAACTAGAGAAGCGTATCAAGTGTGAGGATTGAAGTATTTTGATTATAAGAGGAAAGCAGAGGTGAAGAATCTAGTTATTGAATAAAATCGTATAGGGTATAGTTTTTTGGGACAAAAAATGTGGTATACTTATGGATGAATTTTATTTTATTATATGTAGAAGCAGGGTGTTTGAAGCGAAAATGAATTGAATAAGATGGGAATGGGAAGGTTTTGCAGATGAATGGGAATTTCTAATGATTGGAAGTGTTTGGGGAACATAGCCTTGTCTTTGTTAAGAACGTTACTTAACAAGATTATAGTAACTAAGAGGATGCAAGATGAGTGGTTTGGATCTCTGTTTTCAGAGGACAATAGTGGATGCTATTTCTTTCCTGAGGGAATGGATAGAGGAATAGAGAAAAGAAGAAGAATCTGTGTAGGGGTTTTATGAAATTGGAAGCCTATGATAGGGTGGTGGGTTTTAGAAAAGAAAGGAGGTGATATAAATATATATATATTGACACGATAAAGGATATATGAACGAGGGACCTATGACTAGTGAGGACAATCACTAGAGAACTGTGGAATGAGAAAATGAATTCATGCAGCTGCTTTTGAATCCATGAATTACAGTGAGATTGATGCTTGCTGATTTTGTAAAACTGCAAATAATAATTATCGTTGTTAGCAATTTTTTGCACCTCTTAAAAAATCCGATAGCTAATAAACTGGAAAAAGATGGATTATTTGTGAAAGAATTTATGGGGCTTTACATCGATTAATATTTATTTACTGTGAAAATTCAGATTTCAGCAAGCAATTGAATTTTATTTCGTGTATTATTCTTATGCAGATGATAGCAATGAAATATGGTTCTGTCCCAATTGCACGAAAAACAGGGGGTTTAAATGACAGGTGCGCTAATCAGTGCTTTGTTGTTTAGATAAAAAGCAGACCTTTCATTTAAAGTTATTCTGTTTGGAAAGTTTGTTTTCAACTTTTTAATCCTTCTTGCAGTGTTTTCGATGTTGATGATGATACCATACCGACTCAGTTTAGAAATGGATTTACATTTTTGTTACCTGATGAACAGGTAATTTTTTGTATGCTTGACACATTTCAATATTTGGCATCCGTGTCAAGTCTAGTTATTTCTTGTGTCAGCCCGGTCTTGGGTATGGACTGACTGTGGAGCATCACAAGCATTTGCACGAATCATTATTGTTTTTTATTTTGTTGTAACACAAGGAAAATTCTGTCTGTTTGTCATTTTGATGCTTGTGAATTCTATGATAATCGACAGGGAGTGAACAGTGCTTTGGAACGTGCATTGAACCACTATAAGAACAATAGTCGGAGTTGGCAAGAGCTTGTTGAGAAGGTAATGAGAATAGACTTCAGTTGGGACTCATCAGCATCACTTTATGAGGAGCTTTATGAGAAATCAGTAACCAGAGCAAGGAGCACCAGAAGTCCTGTTTAAGCTTCGTTTTGGCACTTATTCTGACATCCCTTCTGCCAAGGCAGGTTTGCAATACAAGATGTCTGTCATAGAATTGCTTCTGGAAATTGGGTGAACTGTCATATCAGATTGCTTGTTGATCCGTTGACATTGATTTAGATTGGCAACAGTAGCAAGTACATATATATATCTAAAGTCAGATAGCAAAAGGCTTTTGAAATCTGTGAATCCTTCAAGGGTTGAAGCCGAGTACAGATTTTACTATTTTCACCTTCCCTGTTTTTTCATTGGTTACTAATAGATAACCATGTCGATTTTGTTTATATGATAAACCTCCATTTTGCAGCTGATGTATACATCACATTTGTATATTGTTGTTCAAAGTGATTTTCTAGTGAGAATCACCCCCTTTTGAACCGACGATACATTATTTACTTATTAAACATGTACGACTTACACATATGAGATCTGGCTATATGTATTCATAAATAAATTTTTTTGTTCTTCGTCCATTCTTCTTTTTGTCTTTATTGCAGGACTTTTTCTTTTTCCTTTGGTTTTTTATTATGCCTCTGAGATCAAAGTTTACTGTACCTGGACAGTAGGTTAATGCACAAGTGAACTTATTGCATGTTCATCTATTCAGTTACTTCACAACAGCTTTAAATTCATATTTCTACTTGTCCTACTTTTAGGCCATCTTTGATCTTAAATTTGTAGAGGAAAAGGAAAAAGATAAGAAAACTTCATGGGTTTTTTTTTTTGTGGTGCGTGTGTTTTTGTTTTATTCGTTTTGTTTCTCATGTTTTCAGAGACTAAAATAATAATAAATAAATAAATAAAAGTTCAAAAACACCAATTATATTCATGTTGTTTACGTTTTTATGCAAAAAAGTTTTCAAAAATTTGAAAACAACTCTTTGGTGTTTTCTCAAAAGTGAGCGAGTCCCAGAAAATTTTTCAAATTTTTTTTAAAAAATAGTTCATCAAACAAATGTATTTTTCTAAGAAGTAATAAGAGAGAACCAAAACAAATCCACATGAGGGAGGAGCTCTTAGCTTTTATGCTCCAATTGCATGGATGTAGATTTGAAATATATGGATTCAACATTAATGTTATTCTAGGAGAATGACTCAAATTTAAATTTGATAGTTTACTTATGAATTTTAAGATTGAATTAAATAGTTTTATTATGATGAATTTGAAATGACTATATATAGTAGTAGTTATTTGAAATCATATTAAGACATCTCTTTTTAATAGGATTAATTACATTAAGACCATCTCAACTATTAGCGAATATCACTTTACATCCCTCATTTAAGAACTCGTACATATTAACTTTCTCAACTATAAAAATGGTTACAAATGCACCTCTTTTGGATGCGTTCTAGAGGGAGTTTGTAGGGATAAAAGTGATATACCATTTTATAGTTGAAAGGGTTAAAATGTACAAATTTATAAATGAGGAAGATAAAGTGATATTCACTAATAATTCTTTCGATGAATAATATTCGCTAATAGTTGATAGAAATTTGGTGTTAATAACCCTTTTTAATAAAATCATCCTAGTAAAAATACATCTCTTTATCTCTAACATATTTCTTCACTCCAACTACGAAACCCCATATCCATTAATTTGAAATCCACATCGATCCAAAACGAACTGTTAGTGAATTGGAATTCTTGCATAGTTCCATTGAAGGAAAGTAATGTTTTAGCCATAATTTTTCTGAAGTTTTTCTTGGTCTTGTTACTTTGGTATGCACACATATAGCACAAATGAAGAATCAAAAATAGATTCACTAGTGGAGAATAAGAGCACACAAAATTCAAAGCATATTTCTTCATTAATTCACACCAATTCTACGAAACAGTGATTGAGCGAGTGTAATACAATTCCTCTCATGAAGAAGCTCTCTCACTTGCCGGGGACAAAGTTGGTAGCATAAGCCCAAGCATTGTTGTTAACTGGGTCAGCAAGATGGTCAGCCAGGTTCTCCAATGGTCCCTTTCCTGTCACAATGGCCTGAACAAAGAACCCAAACATTGAGAACATGGCCAGTCTTCCGTTCTTGATCTCCTTCACCTTGAGCTCTGCAAAAGCCTCTGGATCATCAGCTAGGCCCAATGGGTCAAAGCTTCCGCCGGGGTAGAGCGGGTCTGTCACCTCTCCTAGTGGCCCACCGGCAATACGGTAACCCTCAACAGCCCCCATCAAGATAACTTGGCAAGCCCAGATGGCCAGAATGCTTTGGGCATGGATCAAGCTAGGGTTGCCCAAGTAGTCAAGCCCACCCTCGCTGAAGATTTGGGCACCGGCCTTGAACCACACAGCCTCGCCGAACTTGACACCGTTGCGGGCCAAAAGCTCGGGGAAGACGCAACCCAAAGCTCCAAGCATGGCCCATCTGCAGTGAATCACCTCAAGCTCACGGTTCTTGGCAAAAGTTTCTGGATCGGCTGAAAGCCCAGCAGTGTCCCAACCATAATCACCAGGGAATTCTCCAGTGAGGTAAGATGGGGGATCACCAGACAATGGACCCAAATACAAGACTCGGTCTGGACCGTACCAAGGGCTTCCAGATGGGACTTGCTTGCCGGTCTTCCTCATACTGATCCGTCCACCACCAAGAACCTCCGGGGCAAGTTTCACCGCCTTTCCGGCGAAAGATGGGGAAGAGAGAGCCATGGTAGAAGCAGCCATGGTGGAAGAAAGAAGCCTTTGGAGAAGTAAGTTGACAGAAGGTGGTAGTGTTAGGAAGAAGTTGTTGGTGGTGGGAGATTGAAGGGGAGTTTTGTGGGTATTAATAAAAGTAGAGAGCAAGGCATCTTCTTATCTTACCAAATCGTTATCTCTCTTCTTATTGGTTGCCAAGATTCTATTTTTGTTTCCCTCTCTCCACTTGGCACTCTCTAATCTACCAACTCCTAAAGATTTTTAGTACTTGCGCCCTAACCAATGCCTGGTTCCCAAGTGTACACCTTGTGGGATTGCACTCATCCATATCTACCTTATCATCATGCAAAAATTATAAATTTTGTCCTTTAATTACCTCATGAAATTTATTTATTTATTTACTTCAATAACAATAAGCAATGGTTGTTTGTCAACCTTACTGTGAGACCAATAACTCTCACACTGAGAGGATGCCAATAATGGATTTGCATCATAGGTTGCAGGAAAATATTCAGATTTATGGTTTTGACACAGATGAAATTAAACAAAATAACTATACATCCAATTAAGACATTCCACTTAAGAAAAACATCTAGTCAGTGATCTTTTTAAAGTCGTATTAGAGGTCTCTTTGTCTCTCTTTCCACTCAAAACAATATTCAACTTAAACAAAGAAAAATTCTTGTTAAGGTTGGTCATTAAATCATTTGATATATTAATTAATTAAGGTCTATGTCACCTATAGCAGATGTACATTACCCTCGTTCTATGAACACTAGAATCAGTAAAGTCAATAAAATACAGTAACAGTGTGCTTGAATTTGATTAATCAATTGTTGGCTTCTAAACTCTAATGGCTGCTAAAAAAAATTGTTGGGGCATATTGCAAGTGTGACTCTTATGACAAAATCCAAAAATAAATTTCTCCCCATATCTTATTAGCATTTCGAATGACCTAGATATTTAAAAAGGTGCTCAAAATGTGTAAAATAAATTGATGTATATTATTGATTGATGTGTATTGTGTATATTACAAGGATTCCTATTATATAGGAGAGGATTTGGGAGTAGGTGAGGAGTAGGTGGAGAGTAGGTGAAGTAGGTGAGTGTGTGTGGTAGGTGGTAGTGGTAGGTGTGTAGTAGGTGGATTTTAACAGTCCCCCGCAAACTCAAGGGGGATAGGAACTAACCAACTTGAGTTTGGAGAGAGTAACAAAACAAGAAAATACATAAAAATAAAAGAGGATAGGAGACACTGTATGGTCGTGTCATACCGTTGGTGAAGACACTGGATGGGTGTGTCATAACGTTGTAGAGGACACTGGATGGTTGTGTCATAACGTGGTAGAGGACACTGGAAGGTCGTGTCATAACGTTGTAGAGGACACTGGAAAAGCTAACCGGAATCAATGTCGGGACAGTTTGATGGGGTCATGTCGGACCGTTGTAAAAGTCGCACCCTCAAAAGGTGTACCCAATCTGTCAAAAAACGTGCCCAATCCATAAAAAGGCGTGCCATCAAAAGGCGTGCCAAGTTGTCGGTGAGCGCCGAGCGGCGCATGATGCGCGTGTCTGCCTCTTCGTCATGGTCTTTATAAACCGAAGCGGAAGCTGAGGCTGAGGCAGAAAACCCGCTAAAAAACTCTGAAAAAACTCTTCGTGGTCTGAGAGAGAAACTCTGTAATACTCTGTAACACTCTGTTGCCCAGAAAATGGCCTCGTCTTCCCGTGGTCTGCTCACTCTCTTTCCCGACCTCAACGAGTCAACAAGAGAGATAACTGGTGCGGTGGCACTGGAACCTCAACCAAGCGCCCCGGAGTTTGCTCCGTTGAACTTTCCTATGCGGTCTGTGTAGCAAAGAATGGCAGTGCAATCGGATGTGGAGGCCAATCAGTATACATTGAAGTCATGTGTGGAGACCATGACGACAGTCACAAACTTGTCACACCGGCTTCAGAGTAGGACAAATGAGGTACAGCAGTTAAACGCCCAACTGGCTCTGCTCCAACGCATGTATAAGGATGCGCGAGCAGAGATAAGTGTGCTAAAGGCGGAAAATAAGGAGCTGAAGCGGAAGGCCACCGTTATGTTCCGATTTGGAGGTCCGCCATATGCTGCAGTGGAGGAGCAGGGAGTAGTGATCGTGCCCAGTGGAGTGGGAAACACGGAGGCAACAACGGCAAGGACCGCCCAGGATGGAGGCAAGAAGAAGAAACCGGCGGCAGAGTAGAGAAGAAAAATCCCACTGTTCCGATTTGTGTGGGTTTGGTTTGTTGTTGTTGGTGTTGTTTTTTTGTTTTGTTTTTTGTTTTGTTTTTTTTTTGTTTGTTTGTTTGTTTTTTTTTTTGTTTTTTTGTTTTTTTTTAAAATAAATAAAGAAAAAAAAAATGATTTTGAAATCAACCGGAGGAGAGAGAGGGGACAAGCGCATGTGATAAAGGGGAGAGAGAGGGTGTTGGGTTTGTAGAGGAGCATGTTTTGGGTGAAAAAAAAATAAATAAATAAATAAAAAATAAAAAGGGGATGGATGTGCAAAAGGTGTTGGAGGGATGGGTTGGAAAGTAAGCATATCGGGGATGGACTTGAGTAGAGAGAGATGATTTTGAAAGAGATGAAAAGAGATGTATATATATATATATAAAATAAAGAAAGTGGGGAACAAGGAGTGCACCAATTAAGCTTTAGAATAAAAAAAAAAGGTTGGGCGGTGGATGCAAAGTGAGGAGAGAGAGTGGGTGTAAAGTGTTGTTATTCTTTAAAACCATTTGTTATCTCTATTGTGATCTTCATCCATTAAATATTCATTTTGTAGAAAACAAAGTGAGTGTGTCAATCAGGTGGAGATTTGCTTTTTATGAAAGATTGAACAAGCATGCAAAATAATTCAAAGGTTGGACTGCACAGCTCAAAAGGGGGGCTGACTGTCGTGGCCTTGGTAGGCAAGGCATGGGCTTAAGATCTCGAGGAAAATCGGGTCGGCAAATAACAGCTGTGCAATAGCTGACCGGTGCTCACCATCTTGCCACGAAGCCAACATCATGCCCGCAGACAGGACGCGATAAAGGTTGTTGTGTTGAGGCTCCAGTTCAATTTATTCACTGGTGCTATCCCCGACCTCAAGCTTTGAAGAAAGGTGGTGTCTGTTGGCGATGGAGATAGAGCGGCAGAACAGGAAGATCTACTGCGTAGAAGTAACAGCTTTGCCGGGAAAAGCTTTCGCTGGTGGTGGAAGCCGCGGGAGATGAGACCTTTGAGCTCAGGGCAGACTCGAAGTTCGCGTACTGGTCCGTTGACTTATCCCATGTGGGATTGAGGAAACAATCCAAAGATTGCTCCAGCGAGCAAGTCATCTCCTGGGATGAAAACAGAGACTGCCAGTTTTGCACCGGCGATGGTTCGAAGTGCACACCAGTACTGAGAAAGTACTCTTTGTCCATGGCAAACGATGGAATAGTATATGAATGAAGAAAAAGAGGGAGACCCAGATGAGAATTGGGGAGAAAGAGGTTGAAGATGAGGAAACAAAGAAAGAAGAGTGTCTGGTATGTGTTGAAAAATTCCAGCGGGCAGCGAAGGCAAGGTTGCCGACCGGCTGCCCGCCGGAAAGAAATGAGTATAGGTCTAAATCTTATAGCTCTGATACCATGTAAAATAAATTGATGTATATTATTGATTGATGTGTATTGTGTATATTACAAGGATTCCTATTATATAGGAGAGGATTTGGGAGTAGGTGAGGAGTAGGTGGAGAGTAGGTGAAGTAGGTGAGTGTGTGTGGTAGGTGGTAGTGGTAGGTGTGTAGTAGGTGGATTTTAACAAAATGCCTAAGAAACCCCAATCTAAATCCCTGGTATTAGTCACGGTTGAACTGAATTATTTTTTAGTACTGAGTATAAAGTTGAATATTCATTTAGGTTTTTACCTTCCTTTGGTTTTGGTTTTTTTAATATTTTATATCCTTTAGAACTTTTTTTTGGGTTTTCGTTAAATTTCTTCTATGGTACAAGTAGTAACTAAATCGTGAATGTAAGACTAAAAAGTGTATATAGAAGTGACAACTCTTCTCCATCGAATCTCAACAGAGGAAGAAAATCAAAAATCACAACTAGAAAGTGCTAATTTTTCGACTCCAAAGGGGGCGGAGTCAAAGAAGGGCAAGGGCCATATGCACCCCGCCCCCCTAATTTTGATTTTGATTTTGATTTTTTTTTTTTTTTTGGTTTTTGTTTTTGGTCATATGTAAAATGTATTTTCTTTTATCTTAACATGTTTTTGGCTAAGGATATTTGTATTGTTCATAATACGGAATTATTTGATACTTTGAGAATTTTATGTAATATTATTTATATAATAGTCTAAATCAATAGTATGGCGAGAAATCTTATGGATTAGATATGATAAATAAACTCATCATTTTTAGGTAGTTAAGAGATAACGATAGACCACTTAATGTGAATTGTGGTTTCCCATATTGTGAGCATTATGTAAGCAACGTCATATGGTACTCTAAGACTATTTTAATAATTTTCATTCAAAACACATCATTTATAAGTAATATCATCTCTCTAATATTTTTCTATCAAATAAAAATTAAACAAATTTTATAATAATTTGTGTTATAAATGATGTTTTTTTTTAATTTTTTAAAATTAAGAATTTTCATCCATAATTTTTTGTGCTAAAATTACAAATTTACATCACCATCCCGCACTAAGTTATTCCACACTATTACAAAATTTTGATTTGTTGCTATTAACAATGAATATTTAAATTTTTATATTTAAATTTAGCTCATAAAATTATTATTATCTTAATGTTAATCATATTTTTTTAAAAAATATATAATTAATAAGTACTCATCTCTAACTTAATTTTTTTTTTATTCCGCCGCTGATTCCAAATCGAAGACACTTTGACAGCACAGTTAGTGGAAGTCTTTTACCCATGCCATCAAAAGCAGCCAAGCTAGGAACAAATTAAAACTTGATCGGGATCAAGCCTCTCGGCCCTCATCTAAGTTCCTCAATTTCATTTCCAAAGACTTGGTTCGAGATCAAGCCTCTCCAACTTTTGTTCAAGTTTCTTTTCAAGCCTTTTGTAGGAAAAATAAGAAATAATA